GCTAACACATCATAACTTTATTCAAAAGACTAGTGAGGGGTTTTCCATTCTTTTGACAAAAGAAACAAGTTACATATAGACAAGGTATTGCAACTAGAGAAAGCAAAAAGTCGAAGTTTTCTTCTAAGTAATCCTCGGACTCACAAGTAGCTTCTTCTTGATGTCTTTGGTTCCATTGTACTTTGTAGAACTTGATTATGCGCCTTGGTGACTCGATCCTTCGATCTAAGACTCTAATGATTTTCGGCATAAGTCAAATCAGGTGCTAGTTCTACATCACCAAGTCGATCCTTGGTCGGTACTTGAAGACACTTCTTCAACTAGGGATACATGGAAAATATCATGCCGGTGACATGTGATCTGGTAACAATAGCGATGGTAGTCCACATCTTTGTTGGATTTGAAGCGGACCGACATAACAGGCGCCAACTTTCCCCGATCCCAAAGCGATGAACTCCTTTCATCGGTGATACCTTAAGTGAACATGATCTCCCACTATGAATTCTAGCGGTCGCCTCCTCTTATCGGCATAGCTTTTACCGGGATTGAGCTACCTTCATATTAGCTTGTATGAGTTTAACTTTCTCTACTTCCTTGACCACATCGGTCCAAAGAACTAAAGTTCTCAACATCGACCAATGTAAAGGTGTATACGGCATCTGACCATACAATGCTTCAAATGGTGTCATTTTAATGCTCTCTTGATAGCTATTGTTATATGAGAATTCAACAGGAAGGCATTCATCCCACATAGCACCATAGGAAGAACACATGCTCTTAACATATCTTCAAAATTTGATTTACCCTTTAAATGCATCCATACATTTTGCGAGATGATAAGCGAGAACTTCGGATAAGTTTAGTTCCCAAAGACTCATAGACTTTTCCAAAACTTGGATATGAACAATGACCCTCATCGAGAGATAATGGTCTTGGGTGCCCCATGCGACTAAAATTCTATCGAGATAAAGCTTTGCATCTTGCTCCGCTCGATATTTATCTCATTGGTAAGAAATGAGCTATCTTGGTTAGGCGATCAACAATAACCCATATTGAATTGTAGCCTGCGAGATGTCCTAAACAACCTACTATGAAGTCCATTCAGATATCTTCCCACTTCCAAGATGGGCCCGGCAAAGAATGTAATGGACTCGCGGTCTTCATGTGAATCTCTTTGACTCTCGACAAGTATCACATTTGGCCACATATTGAGCTATTTCTATTTTCATTTTGGTCCACAATATCTCGTTCTCGAGATCATGATACATTTTGTTGCTACCTAGATGAATGGAGTATCTTGTAGGATGAGCTTCATCAGAATGCTGCTTTACGCAGCTCCAGTTTTTGGGTACTACCAATCTATCCTTGAACCATCGACATCGATTCATCAATCTTGAAACATGTTGATCTTCAGATCGGACTTTATCCTTGATATAGGCTATGCCCTTACTTTTACTGTTGGCGGCAATGATCGATCTTTGATAGTGGACTCAAGCTGCAATATTGGACGAACCTTGTTCTATGATTTGTAAATTCGGATGCTCCATCTCTTGACACAATGTTATTTGCATAGGTTCTGTCGAGGCAATGTGACTCTTGTGACTCGAGAACTGACAACCACATTAGCCTTGCTGGATGATAATGCACTTCTAAGTCATAATCTTTGATAAGTTCTAACCATCTTCTTTGCCTCATATTCAACTCTGGTAGGTGATATATTTCAAACTTTTGTGATCCAGTATAGATGGCATGTACTTAATAAATAATGCTAGCACAAATCTTGAGTGATGCATAGAGCAACACATT